GTGCCACACACACACACACCCGGGGACACTGCGACCATCATAAATGTGAATCAGTTGCCAAGCGGTCAAATTTTGATCACGTGACCACAGGGATGCTGCAGTGGCCGTAAGTGTGGAAAATGATAATAAGTCCACTTTTTTTTTAACTGCCTTTGTGATTTTGAACGGTTACTAAATGAGCTGCTGTAACTTGAGGACTGCCTATATATATATATATATTTATAGTAATTATTGTCTGGTTTGCTGGACCCATATCATAATCCCGTTGTCATGCCCCTGGTGGAGACTGAGGGAGAGGAGGAACAGCCAACAGGGAGTGGAAGTGTGGCTCCGGAGGTTGGGGAGGAGGCTGGGGAAGGGCAGAGGCCGGCTGGGCAGTCAGAGGATGACCCAGGCCCATCCCCTCTCCATCCTAGGGCACGCAGGGAGGAGAGGATAAGGAAGAGACGTGGTCTATTCAGGAGGAGAGGGCCTTGATCCTCTTCATGGGCTGCAGCTGTGACAACTGGATAAGAAGACAGACATGCGTACGGGCAAGTGCTGGAAACAAAGCATGGAAATACCTCTAGTTTGTTGTTCCTTTCTGAGTTTGGCGTCCTTCCCAGTGTGTATTATCTGTGGACGTCCTCCAGCCCTTCTCTTGCCTGGTTTGTGTTGTTTTTTACTCTCTATAATTTAAACGGCATCTTCTCCTTCTTGTAACTGCTTGTGTGGGAGGTTTTTTTTGTCCCCGGTCAAGGATATTTGGAGCTTGGAAGCAAAGTGAAGGAATAAAAGGGGCTTCACCTGTTCTTTATGACTGTGTTAATTTTGTATCCCACTCTGGGTCAGCACACCGTGATGGCACGCATGGCAGAAGTGGTACGCAGAGCCATTTCTGCCGTCACCCAGAACTGATCCAATGCACATGCGTGCGCAGCCCCTGCCAGCCAGCTGATTGTTGAGTATCTGCTACGCATGCGGGGGGGGGAGACACACATAGGGCGGTGCACACATGCGCAGGGGGGGTGGGAGGTCACGCGCATTGCCTTATGGGTGTAGGCATGTGTGCACACGCATGCGTGTGCGCGCGCCTGCATTTTCGGCATGTGACAACCATATGCTAAGAATTGCAGTGGGAAGGATACAGACCATCATCTGTTCTTCAGCCATTGGGGACCCTGCAGAATATCCTGCTGTTTAAAATGTTGGCCTTGTTTTCATTTTGCAGGGGTATTCTGGCCACTCGAAGCGTCAGTATAAGTGCTTGGGGGTCTTCCAAAGGCTCCCCAAATTATCCTTGGTCCCATCACTTCTACAGACCATCCTTTATGTGCCCCGCAAAACCAGGCGTGTCATCCAGAATGACCGCTTTTGTCTACTTTTGTAAGAAACCATGATTTACAAATCATTTTGGCTTGTTTGAAGCAAGGCACGATCATAAGCCACGATTTACCCAACTACTGTGTCTGGATTCCCACAGCTGGGGTTGGAACAGGTGGTTTTGCATGGACTGCAATGACAACCATGTACACACACACACCCCTCTCTCTTTCTCTCTCTCTCTCTCTGTCCAGGAGAAAGGTTAGATTATACTATGTAAATCCAAGTACATAACTATAATAAAGAAAAACACTTCCTGGTACATTGAAAGGGAATTCCTTGGGCAAAGTTGGTATGCGTAAACAGGAGAAATTTTTTTCCGCCAAGAAAGTTTTAGACAAATGAACATCTGTGCATTATTATTACTATTTGCATAACTTTAAGCTACTGGTTTTTAAAAGTATGCTGTGTTCTTTGTTTAATTGTAGGTGCGTTTCTGGTCAGTAAAGTTGTAAGAAAGATATGTTTAAAGATTGCAGTATTTTCAGAACTTTAGTGAGGGTTGATTAAAACCTTGTTTTAGTGTGTAACTCTCAGGAACCTAAAAATACTGAGCCACAGGGAGAGCCGAAAGACTGGTAAGTCCTCAGTTTACGACAATAGAGATCCGTTGCTAACCAAGATGGTGGTTAAGTGAGGCGTGCCCGATTTTGCAACCTTTTTTTTTTTTTTTTGGCCACGGTCGTTAAGGAAATCACTGCAATTAAATAAATCACGTGGTCATTAAGCAAATCCAGCTTTCCCCCTCATTCACTTTGCTTGTTGGAAGCCGGCTGGGGAGGACACAAATGACGTGACACCCACACCCCCACACAGACACCACTGCAACTGTTGTAAAGTGGCTCTAAATTAACTGGAAAAGTCTGTTCGGTGTGTGAATCTGCACTGATTTGCTGCTCTTCCTGCATTGTTAATTTGGAAAGCGCCATTAGCTTTTGCTAACAAATTCAGCAGTATGCTGCAAACAAATTTTGGGGGCATTTTTTATTTTTTTATTTTTGCAGGAGAAGGTCTTCTGTAGCTTGAAGTAACATTCTAGGGCTGTACCTTGGAGGAAGGGCCAGCTGTGAGATATGCCACTGCATTTTCTGAAACACAATTTCTTTCTTCTAGAACAGGGGTCTCCAACCTGGACAACTTTTAAGACTTGTGGACTTCAACTTCCAGAATTCCTCAGCCAGCCATGCTTGCTGGGGAATTCTGGGAGTTGAAGTCCACACATCTTAACGTGGCCCAGGTTGAGAAAAACCATGCGGGCTGGGGGATTCTGGGAGTTGTTGTTACTATTATATTTATTGAATTTATATTGGCACCCATTCCCCTGTGGCGACTCAAGACGGCTTACAGAATATAAAACCTCATTTAAAAGAATAAAACTAATAAAAAGAATCACATAAATTTAGTATAATACAATAACATATTTTATAAATACATAAAATGAGTTGAAGTCCACAAGTCTTAAAGTGGCCATGCTTGGAGAGCTCTGTTCTAGAAGGCAGCTGGCCCTCAGGCCACGTAGATAGGTCACTTCTTAACTCTGGTGTCTTGCTGGTAATCCTTTCCCACCTTTAGTGTAGGGGTCCCCAAACTTGGCAACTTTAAGACTTGTGGACTTCAACTCCCAGAGTTCCTCAGCCAGCAAAGAAAAGAAAAGAAAAGAAAAAAGGAAATAAAGATGTAACCCACCTTCAACCAGATCACAATAGGCCAGTGTTTTTCAAACTGTGGACTTCAACTCCCAGTATTCCTCAGCCAGCTAGGAATGCGAGCTAGGGAATTCTGGGAGTTGAAGTCCACAAGTCTTAAAAGTTGCCAAGTTTGGAGACATCCAATTAAATGGCTTGGGGAATTGACTTTAGGAGAAGCTTCCAATTCATTGAAGGAAATTATGAACTGCAAAGCTAGCCGTTTGCAGATCCTTTCCCCCAAACACAGCGTTCTGATTTTTTATTTTTTAAAAAAAAAAAACTATACAAAAGAGTTTTCTCTCCTCCTGTACTCGAAGGCTTGGTTTGCAAATAAATAGCATTAAACTCAAAATGTGCAGCAGCCCCATCTTTGGACCTTTCTTGCCTGGCCAGTGACAGTGTTAATGGTGGAGTTACTCTTTTTCTGAACCGAGCAAGCATGGGGGCGATGGTGATCTCTCTCTCTCTCTCTGCTTCAGTAATCAAGGTTAGATTCTAACCTTGTAATTAGATCCCTACCTACCCAGGCCTGACCCCATAATTTTATGAGTCAGGGCGGTCTCTTCAGCAGTTTCTGGAGCTGTTCAGGTCGGCTTGTCTGTTTTCTTTGGGTAAATATTTGCACTTAATGGCTCTTATCGGTTTACATGCTGGTGCCAGGCTTCCCGGTTAATCACAAACCACAGCCTGGCTGCGTGATCTTGCAGAAAACCGGGTGGAGGGGACTTTTGAAGGGATGCCAGGCTCTCTCTCTCCTTAATAAGTAATAGCCCCAAAAGGGCTTCCTCTCTTGGGGGGGAAACGGAAGACACCAGAGATAAAGAGAGGGAGGGAGGAAGAGAGAGAGAGACAGAGAGAGGAAGAAGGGTGAGGTAGGTGGGGTGGGGAGGGTGAAGGATTGTCTTGAAGGCATTGTTAGCACCATATTCACCACAAGACAAGTTTGGGCCAATCACCAGGAGACAATGAGTTCTAGTCCCACCTTAGACATGAAAGCCGGCTGGGTGACTTTGGGCAATCACCAGGAGACGGTGAGTTCTAGTTCCACCTTAGGCATGAAAGGCGACTGAATAACTTTGGGCCAATCACCAGGAGACGGTGTGTTCTAGTCCACTTAGGCATGAAAGCCAACATAGTAGGCCAATCACCAGGAGACGGTGAGTTCTAGTCCACTTAGGCATGAAAGCCAACATAGTAGGCCAATCACCAGGAGACGGTGAGTTCTAGTTCCACCTTAGGCATGAAAGGCGACTGAATAACTTTGGGCCAATCACCAGGAGATGGTGAATTCTAGTCCACCTTAGGCATGAAAGCCAACATAGTAGGCCAATCACCAGGAGACGGTGAGTTCTAGTCCCACCTTAGACATGAAAGCCAGCTGGGTGACTTTGGGCCAATCACCAGGAGACAGGGAGTTCTAGTCCCACCTTAGACATGAAAGCCAGCTGGGTGACTTTGGGCCAATCACCAGGAGACGGTGAGTTCTAGTCCACTTAGGCATGAAAGGCAACTGAGTAGGCCAATCACCAGGAGACGGTGAGTTCTAGTCCACTTAGGCATGAAAGCCAACATTGTAGGCCAATCACTAGGAGACTGAGTTCTAGTCCCGCCTTAGGCATGAAAGCCAACTGGGTGACGTTCGGCCAACCACTTTTTCTCAGCCCAACCCACTTCACAGAGTGGTTAATTGTGAGGAAAATAGGAAGGAATTTATGTATGTTCACTCCCTTGACTTGCTGGATAAAAGTGTAGTAAATAAATGATATAAGCCAGGATCTGCTACTTCCCCCCCCAAAAAAACTCTGTTCCTCCCAGCACCCTTTGGCTTCTTATCTCCAGATTGTGCCCACTTCAGAGCCTTTGAGATCCTGAAGCTCTGGCACTCATGGCTAAGCAAGTGGACTTTTCATTATCGTCCCTCCATCCCTCTCTTTCTCACTTTCTTTCTAGCTCAGAATGTGACCGTGGAAGAAGTTCTCACCGCCTACAAGCAAGCCTGTCAAAAGTTAAATTGCAAACAGATACCCAAACTACTGAAGCAGATCCAGGTACGTGCTTGTTCTTAAAGGTATCCCTGCCATGATTGATTGGATCTGGCTGTCGGAGGAGGAGGAAGTGGAGGTGTTTATCTATTCTTGGGGTTTATTTTTGGCAGACACAGCAAACCATTTTACATTGAGGCCTGCCTACCTAGGTGCTGTTCATGCAGGTGGTCCTTGACTTAAAACCACAATCGAGCTCAAAATTGCCGTTGCTAAGCGAGATGGTTGTTAAGCAGATCACTGCAGCTATTAAGTTAGCAACGGTTGTTTAAGTGAATCTGGCTTTCCCGTTGACTTGGCTTGTCAGAAGGTCACCAAAAAAGCGATCACAGGACCCCCGGGCACACTGCTAGCGTCATAACTGTGAGTCAGTTGCTAATTTTGGCCACATGGCCATGGAGGATGCTGCAGTGCCCTTGTAACTTTGAACGGTCACTAAATGGTAAGTCAAGGACTACCTGGACAGCCTGACCAGGCTTTTGGAGTAAGATCTTTTTCCCAGTCCTTCCTGGAGAGGCTACAGCTGTTTTCGGTTTCTCATAGCATCTATCATCCACCAAGGCGGCAGGGGTTTTCAAACTTGGCAGCTTTAAGACTTGTGGACTTCAACTCCCAGAATTCCTTCTCCAGTCATGTTAGCTCAGGAATTCTGGGAGTTGAAATCCACAAGTCTTAAACTTGCCAAGTTTGAAGATCCTTGCACCAAGGGAAAGGAGAAAGGAAACCCCTTCCATCCCAAAGGAATTTGCAAAATTCTATCTATCTATCTATCTATCTATCTATCTATCTATCTATCTATCT